ACCTGCATACATACAACTTTCTAGTTACTGGCACATAATTTTAACAGAATATGTCTTAATTGAATTCTAAGTGCTTGTGTTGTGAGTAAAGAGAAGATCCTGTGTTCCCCTTCTTGCTGGACAAAAGAAAGATGTTGAGGGGCTGGGGCTGTAGCTCCATGGCAGAGCACTTGCCTAGCGCACAGAAGGCACTGGGTTCAATCCCTAGCCCCACATTAAAAAAATAAACAACAACAAAAAAATAAAGTCATGCATGCTGTCTATCTACAACTACAAAAAAAAAAAAAAGATGTTGAATTCCTTCCCTGATGCCACTTATGTTTCTGGTAGAGGCAGGACTACAACCAACGAGTCCTGATTCCTTTACACTATCATTTACAGCGCCCTTTACACTATCCCTTGGTGCTTCTGCCTGATCTTCAGTTAATATTTAAGGGCTGCTCTTGTGCAAGGAGCTGGGCTAAGCCCTGAAGAACAGCTTTTGTGGTGAATGGACACATGAAATAAATGTCAACATATATTTCCACTTACTCAATATATAAGTAAATTTTTTTACAAGGATTAGTCTAAAAAGCCAGTGAAAAGGGCTTGAGAGCTTTCCTCATTAGTGTGAACAGAAAGGCTGTGTACATTTCCCTTCCATGATTTTAAAGATAAAAAGCACAATTTCAAAGAATTTCATAGCGCATGTCTATCAAAACTTCAAGAAATTATAGGTTTGCTGTATTCTACTAGTAACATTTACCTTGAAACCTTTGCGGGCTGACCAGAAATACATTATTTGTTGATGTTGGCCTTCAACATGAAAATCCTCCTTAGTGACTCAAGCAAAAACTAGGATCTTAAAGACCATTAGTTAGATAACAATGTAATTTATCATTCAAACCAGAACACGTTTGAGAGTAAAAGTGGGTACTACTGGTAAGTACATGGGCATGACCTGAATATATGGTCACACAAGTCTTAAATCACATGTTCCCAATTTATCTATAGACTAGCTTACCTTAAAATGAATATTTTAAGTGAAATAGGAGCACAATCCAAGAATTTGTTACTTTTCTACTGGCTTTCCAATCTAGAATAACACTTTTTTATTCTTTTTTCTTTATTTATATATGACAGCAGAATGCATTACAATTCTTATTACACATATAGAGCACAATTTTTCATATTTCTATTTGTACACAAAGTATAGTCACACCAATTCGTGTCTTTATACATGTACTTTGGATAATAATGATCATCACATTCTACATCATTTATAACCCCATGCCCCTCCCTTCCCCTCCAACAACTCTGCCCTATCTAGAGTTTGTCTATAGAGTTAGAGAAGATAATGCTAAGTGAAGTTAGCCAATCCCAGAAATCCAAATGCTGAATGTTTTCTTTGACATAAGGAATCTGATGCAGAGTGGGATAGGGAAAGGGAGCATGAGAGGGATAGACAAACTCTTTTTTCTTTTTAATGATAAAAAAAAAATATTTTTTAAAAGCCAATAAGTTAAAAGTCCCTCTAGGTACCTCAGCTTCTAATTTCCCTCCTCAGCTATAGCCACTGGGGACAGGGTGGACAGTAACCTTCTCATTTCCAATGTGTGTGTGCGTGCACACACATATATACAAAACAGTGAGCTGCCACTCATGCAGCTGTATTTCAGAGAATCTTTTAAATAGAAGATAAGTATGTTGGCTTAGTGGTGTGAAATACACTGAATCTGATAATTATGATTTGATGTCAAGATAATATTTATAATAATTATAAGTTTTAGTTTCCTAGGCAGAGTACCACAAACTGGGTGCTTTCAAATAACAGAAATATATTATCTTATAGGTGGGGAGACTTGCAGTCTTGTCTCAGAAGTCCTGTGCAGCTGCATAACTCCATTCTCTGGCTTGCCATCTGAGATGTTCTCCCAGTGTGTTCCTGTCCTCACAAGTTCATATTCTGACAAAGACAGCAGTTACATGGGATTAGAGGCCCACTCTACTCCATTAGGACCTCATCTTAATTACATTTGCAATAACCCAATTTCCAAAAGAAGGTCACATTCTGAGTACTGTGGGTTAGGAGTTCAACGTATCTTTTTTTTAGAGAGGGACACAATACCATCCATATCAGCAAGTTATCTTTGTACACCAATAAATTTAGGCTGTAAAAAACTGAGAGTTTTTTCTTCTCATGTTTGAGAGAATCTACATGGATTCTGATAGAGAAAAACTTGAATGAACTGACCGTAGTTCAGTCAGTTCTCCAACTCACTGAAAAAAAATTTATTTGCACTAGTCTTTTTCTTTTTTAGTTATAGATAGACACAATATCTTTATTTTTTTAAATTTATTTTTATGTGGTGCTGAGGATCAAACCTAGTGCCTCAAATGTGTGAGGCAAGCACTCTCCTACTGAGCCGCAACCCCAGCCCTGCACTAGTCTTTTTAAAAGAGTAATTATTACATAAAAATAATCAGGTATCATGAGTATAACTTTTTATTAAATGAAGTATATACAAAACAATATTTATAAATATGTGTACAGACAGAATAATTCTAATAAATACCCATGGCCCCACAATACAGTTTTAAAAAATAAAATACAATTATTCTTCTTGAATTTTTAATTATCTAAAATTTTTTAAAGCATTTTTCACTTAAGATATATTTTCAGCATGTTTGTTTTTAATGACAAAATTAATATTGGTATATGTTGTTTATTATAAAAATATATAATTCAAAATTATTTGGGGTAAAAATTAAAAAGTCTTCCCATGTCAGCGATATCTTCTATGTGTACATAAACCTTTGGAATAGTGACAGGGAGTTCCATATTATGTCTTTATCCTAGTTTACATAATCAATCATGTGTTTCCATTTTCCTGCTATTATGAATAATGCTGCAGTGAACAACCTTCTACAAATAACATGATCACTTTTGCAAGTATATAAGGTAAACTCCGAAAGATAGAAATGATGAATAAAAAGCATGAAAATACCTTTGAAATTCATATGAATTTGAGTTGGATTCCTGGTATGTGAAATGAAAATGGTTCTAAGTAAAATAATTGCTGTAACAGTCTCCAGGAAATCAACAAGTCAACACTTGAACCCAAATTTTAATATTCTAGTCTACAACTCATTTGATTATATTCCATAAAAATATGGACTCTCATCACAAAAGCAATCAGGGAAAGTCCCACAATGCTAGGCCACCAGATGAAATTTCCTGGGGTAAGAACTTCAGTATGTATGATGATTTTCTTTTAATCACATAACAATTATTCCACTTCAATAGATGAGGGGGAAATATGACAAAATCCAAGACTCTTTCATGATAAAAACTCTAAGTAAACAGAGAAGTGAACTTCAACCTGGTAAAGGGAATCTACAAAACATCCACAGCTAACATCATACCTAATGGTAAAAGACTGAAAGTTTCCCCCTAAGATCAAGACCAATACAAGGATGTGCATTCTCTACTTCTATTCAACATTGTACTGGAGGTTCTAGCCAGGGCAATTAGGCAAGAAAATGAAATTAAAGCTTTCAGACCTGTGTTCAGAATACATACAGAACCCTTTAAACTCAATAACAACAAAAAAAGTGAGGAAAGGATCTGAATAGCCCTTTCTCAAAAAAGAAAAGGAGAAACCCGAATGTCCAACGATTAAATTTTAAAAATGCTCAACATTCACAGTGAAATGCAAATAAAAAAATATAATACAACACTCTCACTTACTTGGATGGCTAAAATTAAAAACAAAGCAGAAAATAAGTATTGGCAAAGATGTGCAGAAATTGGAGCCATCAAACATGATGGTGGGAATGAAAATGGTATAGCCCATTTGGGATTTTGCCTGAGATTTCCTTAAAAAGTTAAACATTGTTACCCTTTGGTCCAGCCCTCTACTCTTAGGTATATACCCAAGAAAAGTGAAAATGTACATTCACACACAAAAAAAATTGTTCATGACTGCATTATTTATAGTAACCAAAAGGTGGAAACAACCCCAATATTCATTACGTGGTGAATCAATAACAATACATGGCATGTTAATACTATGAAATATTATTTGGCCAAAGAAAGGAATGAAGTGCAGAGCTGATAGATGTTACAACATGGATGAACCTTGACAACATCATTCTAAGTGAAAGAAATTAGTCTCAAAAATCTCATATTGCATTTACATGTCACATCCAAAACAGGCAATTCCATCGAGAAAGACAATATATAAGTAGGTGCTTAGGGTTGTGAGGAATGGGGTGACTGAGGTGACAGCTACAGGAAACTTCTTTTTGAGGTAATGAAAATGTTCTAACAATGATTAGTGATTATTGTAAAACTGTGAATACAGTAAAAAAGTCATCGGGTGTAATACTAAAAAACACCCACAAACGGTACATCTTAATATACAAATTAAATATCAATAAAGCTATCATTAAAAAAAGGAAAAAATAAACACTATCCACCTGTGTTTTAACTCCAATATCCGCTCCTGACTAGCTAGGTAACTTTATGAGTATCACTTAACTTTCTTACGCCTAGTTTCCCTGTAAATAAATGGAGATAATAATGTTTTCTGTCTCACATCATTGTTATAAAGATTAAGAGAGACAACATGTATAAGAAAAGTGTCTAGTTAAAAAAATGTTGTGCCATTTACTATACCCTAAGTTATTATTGAAATCATTGCACAAATACCTTACCTCCCATTACTCCATCATTATAAATGACAGGGATCAAAGTCTCTGAAGTTCTTTCTTAGGAGGAGTTTTAACTACACTGCGTTCAAGACATGATATGTCAAGAGCTTTGTAATGTTTTGAACAACTAATAATAATTTAAAAAAAAAGACATCGCTCGAAACTTCAGGCGATTTTCTGGCTTCAGTTTCTTGTTTTATAAGCCAACGTTTTCCTTCTAGTTTGGCCCTTGAGGCTTCCCGTTGTCTTTGTCTCAGAACGCATGCGCAAAAAAAAAAAAGAAACCATTGACCTTTGAGCTTGGCCCTTCCGCTCCTTTAACTATGGCGGTTCGCGGCGTGGGGCGCTTGACCTGCCTGTCCCTGTGTGCCCAAAGAAACGCTCGATTCCAGCGTCCTGTTTTTAGGCCTCTCAGTTGTCCAGGAACTGTAGCCGCAGACTTCAGAAGAGAAGAGCAGCCCTCTGGGAGCGCGGCGACAGGTAATGGCTCTGGGTCGTCGGTTCGCCATACCTCCGTCCCACCGCGAGCCAAGAAAGGGAAGAGACCGGGCATCGCGGAGAACCCGTTGGCGTGTGGAAATGGCCGTGGATCCTTTGGCACAGCTAAGGCTGTGTCCCGCCCGCCTTTCATTTCACGAGGGAGACCTAAGGCCGCCTCCTTTGCTGAAGTTGCTTGTGTGCCGTTTTGAGGGTCCGCTCCTGTGTACAATAATGAGATTGCCTAAGCCTCAGTGAAGGTCAGCAGGACTACAGTTAGCCAGCCCATAATAATATGCCTCCTGTCAATCAAAATCCCTAAGATGTTGCCGAAGGCCGAATGTAGTGAAGCCTAGTGAATTACCAGGACTTCTGGCTCCCAGAAATAGGGCTCTACTGATAAAATTTTCGGCTGTTTAGTTTTGGGCAAACTCTGTTTTGTAACACATTTTCATTCACTGTTATGGGTGGCACGAGTGTTCTAAATTTGTATATGCTTCTTTGTGTATTGAAAAGCCCATTCTTACTCAACCCCTCTTGTGGCCCAAGAGCTTGTGTATGCTATTTATAATTCTTAAAACAATCTTGCTACAGATATATGCTTGTCTTCATTTTACAGATAATAGGAAGAGGCTTAAAGAACTAAATAGCTTTTGCATGACATACAACTTAGATCTTAAGTTGCCAAAGAAGTATTTATTTTTACCATTTCTTGGAGCTAACGTTTTAAGAGATGAAGTTATTTCTAGCCGCAGTTCAAAAGCATATTAAACAAGTAGAATATTGTTCTTTTATAAGTTATTGTCTTCATAAGACTCATGGACAGAGTGCAAATACTCATTACATCTCATTGAAATATTGATTGGATTCTATTTAGTAGAAGCTGTTCCATAGAAAATTTTTCATTAGTCCTGCAAATTTGAGTAAGGATTTTGCCAAAAATGCTACTGTAATTTAATATTTGTATAGTGCTTTAAGTTTGAAAGTATTTTCATGTGCTCTTTGAGATCTTCCATACCTGTGGACTAGGTATGAAAGGAATTATTATTTACTACATTTTATAGTTGAGAAGACAGACTAGTTCAGCTGGCTTATTCAGTCCTTCCCCATTTACATATGGCACAGATTAAAGTAAAACCCACTTTTGATTTCAGGGCTTTCCTCTTCACTTAGTGGCAAGAGAATAAGAGTGTTATTCAGGACTCTTTTGAATGCAGGTGGCAAAACTTAACTCAAATTAACTCATTAATTCCCATGTTCCTAGATGTGGGACACCTGTAAAACTTTAAATTGAGAGCAAATATACCACCATGGTAGCTTTTGAAATAAAGGTTGTACTTTTTAGAGTTCTATTATTTTGAAAAATAGGTGAATGTGTTTGAAATGCATATATGTATACATGTATATGTTTATATGTAAGGGATGCCTAAGCTGTAGATTATGATTTCCAGCCTATTTTAATGCACCCGTGTCAACTTCATTGACATTCACAGAATTGAAAGCTTGGGACTTAATGGGTTAAGTAGAATAGAGAAGATATACCAACCCAGGTAATCCAGCTCCAGAAACACGTTTTTATTGCTTTAAGGTCTGTTTGATTAATGTAGTAGTCCGTGTGAGCCTCATCAGGTATTATTTGGTGGCCTTGTAATTTCAGATTCTTCTACATGAGGTTTTTATGGTGGGGATGATAATGGGCAACTCTGTTCACATGCTTGCAGCTTTTCCAAAAGAAAGAGTAAACTTTTACCTGAATTTGACAAATTCCATGAAAGAGCTTTCCATTGATGATTTGCCCACCCTTTGGACCAAAAGGAAGTTTCCAAAAATTGTCTGGTAATCTTGGCCTGGCTCATGGGGTGGGAGTAAGTGTGATGGGTAGGATAATTGTATTGACACTTCTACAACTACACTGTGTGTGTGTGTGTGTGTGTGTGTGTGTGTGTGTTTTAAACAGGGGTGTGCTGATATCAGAACAGGTGGGGATGCATACCAAGCAGCCAAACAACAGCTAAATTCTATAGGAGGCTGTGCAGTATATTAGATGTTTGTTTTTATGAAACTTTTTTGTTGTTAAATCTGTAATGATACCTGCTGTGCCTATCTAAAGGTTCTTAGGAGTTTCAGAAGAGAACATATATGTGACTGACTGGAAAACTGTCAAGTGCTGCTCAAAGAGAAGATGTCATAGTGTATTTGAAGGCAACGTTTAGCTTTTAGGTTCTCATTATAATGTTTTGTTTTTGTGTGTGTGTGTGTGTGTTTGTTTTTTTTCTTCTTTCCCAGGCTATAAATCGTCCCTTTATGTATAGTAATTCTCTATTATAGTTTCTAGTCTTTCTGCTACTTCTTTCTGAGTGCTCCCTGGCTTATTAATATTCATATCCATTATATTTAGAATGGAATATAGTTCCCATATGTGTCCTGACCAGAAAATAGCAAAGGAATGCTATTATCCCTTGGATTAAATGTCTTAAAGAACTACTGCTAGTTAATTTATATAGTGTCTTTATTTTGTTTTAATATGCTTTGAAAATGTCTGGTTAGTTATCATTAGGGTAAGAGGTTCTGAGGAGCATTTATACTTTTACATTATAAACTTTTGTACTATTTGACTTTACTTTTATAGTAAGCAGGTGAGCATCTGTGTAGACTCAGTGAAATCAGAGGCAAGAATGTATACAAGTGGTAATTACAACTGAAAAAGTATCAAGATGGACTAAGCAGAGCTTGTAGCATAAGAAGAGAAGGAAATAGGGACCGGTAGGAAGGAGGACAATCAGCAGGGACTGGTAGGAAGGAGGACAATCAGTAGACTGAAATCAGATTAAACAAGAATAGAGATGTCTGTGTCCTAAACATGGAAAAAGATGTTCTTCTGTATTGTTAAATAAATGTTTATTTATTTAACTGCTGAGACCTCTAGTGTTAAATATATATTTAAATTTTAGTAATAAACAACGCTACAATTACATTCCTTCATAGAAGCTGAGGTAAGGTAATACAGAGATGTAAGAGATTCTACCATGGATAGTCAGAAATCTTTACAGACCTGAGCAAAATTTGGAGGATGAATGGGAATTTACCAGATATAAAATGAGAAGATGGGCATTTCAGTAGAGGGAGAAGACAAAAGAGAGTCCATAGTATGTGACAGTATCATGTGTTTACACTGCTGTGTATGAAAAGTGCAAAGGGAAGAATAGTAGAAACTGACATTGAAGAGGGAAGATGGGACAAAGTGTGAGGAACTTTATAACTGTGTTGTGGAATTTGGACTTGATCTTAAAGGTAATGAAGAAACTGTTTAAGGATTTTAAACAGGCAAATTAAAGAATCAAGGCTTTTATAAAAATATATTTTTAGATGTTGATGGACCTTTATTTTATTCATTTATTAAATGCCATGCTGAGGATTGAAACCAGTGCCTCACACGTGCTCGACAAGTGCTCTAACGTTGAGCCATAACCCCAGCCCAGAATCAAGGCTTTTTAAAAAACAATTTTATAAAGATTATGTTGGCAGCAGCATGGAGAATCACTTGAGAAAGACAAAGCTGGAATGACTGAGAACAAATTCGGAGTCAAGCTATTGTGACAATACAGGACTGAAATAAGAGTTTAGCATTAAAGAATTGATACTGGGAATGGAGAGAAAGGCTTATATTCAAAAGGATGTATTTTCAGCATCTAGTACACTACGAATATCAAACACTTTGGTTTGATCGCATGTTAAAAATGATGAGCAGGTCAGGGACAAGAATTTTCTGATTTGCCATTAGAGATTTGCCCTTTAGCTAATACTTCACGATTCAGCCAGCTTCTACTGTCAATAACCCATATTTATCTGTCTTGTCCATGAAGATGTCTTGGAGTTGCTGAAATTCAGTGATAGTGTAGGTGGAATATTTCCTTGATCCATCAGTTTTGTGGCTGTTTGAAAGAAAATGAGGCTAAAAACTCCTGATTTCCATATAGCTAAAAGAAGCACTTTAAGCTACTTAACTGGAAATTAAATATCTTGGAGGCAAAATGAGTTGTTAAAAAAGAAAATTAGTGTTTGGCTTTAATGTTTTCTTAGAACTTGAGTGATTTCTTTTTTCTTTATATATGTAGTTCATTTGTTGATCTTCCTTTTGTGGCCAGTAGATGATTAATATTTATTTCTTGACTATCACAGTTCTTCATCCTCTGTTTGTAAAACTCCTTGTCTGTAGAAAGGTACTTAAATGGGGGGTGGGGAGAGAAAATGCCCCAAATCCTTAGTGAAATTATTATGAGCTCTTCTTGGGTAGCAACTAGGTTTTAAATTCTTTAATTTCTCTATAATATAGGTCATATGATAGATAATAACTTAATTGTTAGAGACTGATCAAGACCCTTGACAAAGAAAAAAAATCCTTAAAAACTTAATTCACTGTATTGAACTTATAAACTCATTGTCTCAATACATTAGGCTTATGATAATTTCTTGTGGGAATGCACCTATCATTGTATTAAGATGACTTTAATTCTTCAGGATAAATACTGAGGAGTGGTATAGCTGGGTCATATCATGGTTCTATGCCTAGTCTTTCAAAGTATGTTATAAATTTTACATGTAAGTATATATATATGTCATGGAAATGTTTTTGTTTCATTCATAGGCTCTGAAGACAGAAGTCCCAAAAAGAGATTCACTGAGGTGCAAAAAGAAAGACGAGAACAGGCACAGCGAACTGTTTTAATTCATTGCCCAAATAAAATCAGTGAAAAAAAGTTTCTCAAGTATTTATCCCAACATGGACCTATTAATAATCATTTCTTCTATGAGAGCTTTGTACGTATTTGAAAAACAATCTAATTTAATGTTCATGCTTTTGAAAGGTAGATGTTTTTTCTTGTTGACTTTTTGTAATATGGTAAAGTTAGATTTTCTTTTTATGTCCTACATCTTGCCTCATCTAAATTTTTTAATTAGGTTTTTCTTTTGACATGAGAATAAAAATTCATAACAGCAGTATTTTAGAATTATAAATAACATTTGAATGATCCGCTTATTTGAATACTTTTGATAATCTAATATGCTAGATAAAGTGCAATGGGAGGGAATCTTTGTTTTACCTTTTAATTTTCAATTTCAGCATTCTTTAAAGTTTCTCTTAACTGAAATCTTTGTTTTCTTAATCTATTTATAATGACCAAAACAAATGCTCATGTTAGAATCATATCATTTGTAGATTTTTAAAAAGTAGTTTTTATAGCATTATGATAATTATTTTGACGATACTATATTAAACATTTCATTCTGAAGTGCGTTTTGTTTTTCTCCTTTTTTGTATTTTTGGTATAGGGTCTCTACGCTGTTGTAGAATTTTGCCAAAAGGAAAGTATACGTTCACTGCAGAATGGAACTCATACTCCAAGCATGGTCACAGAGGCTGCAATTCCATTCAGGTCACGTTTCTTCAATTTAAAGCTAAAGAATCCATCAAACCAGACTTCTGAACGGCCATGTATACAGTCAAGTAATCAGTTGCCTCCTTCAAGCAAGAAGCTTTTTGAATTACTTTGTTATGCAGAAAGTGTAAGTTTATAGGTATACTTTAAAAATATTTATGACATTATTATAGAAATTCTTACAAAATACGCACACTGTAGTATTGTTTAATGGGTATAGAGCTTTAGTTTTACAAGATGGAAAGGGTTGTGGAGATGGATGGTGGGATGGATGCATATGCACAACATGAAGAAGAGTTTTCTTCCATTTCTAGCTTTCTAGGAATTTCATCAAGGCTGAACACATCAAGTAAATGTCAGTTCACACTTCAGATTATTTGTCTTGATAATTGGTATATGATCTTGAGATCATACAATTTTTCTCCTTATGTCTTTTTCACAGAATAAACCTAAACTTAAAGTATATTTTTAAAAAATGCATTAGTATTATTTTTTTTGACAATTTTTTACAGCTTTACTGTTAATAAATTGGATTATATAAAAAATTCAAACTACAGAATATGTTAAGTAAAGAGTGAAAGTAATCCTCCATTCCACACCCCATGCCCTCTTGTACTCCTCAGAGGTAATCAGTCTTCCAAAATTTTGGGCCTTTTTGGATGATTCAAATTTTCTTTCTGTTTTCAACATAATGAACGTTGTGGCCAGTGGATGATTAATATTTATTTCTTGACTATCGTAGTTCTTGTCTTTGTCCTCTGTGTTTGTAAAACTAAACAACATGGGGCTTGCAAAAAGTAGTTTTAATAATGAATGTAAATTGTACTTGGTATTATGTAAATTTTTAAAGTGCTTATTTCTAGTTTTGTCTCTTTTCTTTGTCCTAATATTGTTTTATCTTGATTTTTCTAGACTCTTGAACGTTTAGCTAGTTTTGTAGCCCTTAGAAAGAATCAATCCATGGTTTTATTATAATATTGCCATTTTTTGGTTTGATTTTCTAACTTTTGAATTCTGTACTTCTAATATATACATTTATTTTCACTTTTTTTGAGTTGAATGTTTAGTTCACTTATTTTCAAATATTGTTTTTAAGTAAGGGAATTTGAAGTTATGATTTTTTTTTCTTTTTTACTTTAAATACTAAAACGTAGCATACAATTTCAAAGTCTGATTATTTTAACACCAATCTTCTGGTGAATGTACAGGTTGATTATAGATATGTAAGCCTTGGGTTTTTATGACTTGAGTTGTTGGTTGCTTCTGATGTTTCTTGCTCTTTAACATTGGTTTCCTAGTTTTGTGATTGTTTTGACCTCCTCTGGAGCACTTTGCTTACTTTTTGTTTTCCTAAAACAGCTTTCTACTCATTTCTTGCAAAAAGTAGTTTTAATTTTAGTCAGCTTTTATTTTGCTAGTGTTTTCAGTGCTTTTTTAAAAAATTGTTTTTTTAAAAAAACCTACTTTTAAGACTGAAAGAAAAAAAGTGTATTTTTAAGGTACGTCTCTAAAGCCGTCTTTAGAAGTAAAATGACAATTATTTATATGACCTGTACATTTTCTATATTTTGTGGGTTTTGTTTTGGCCAGCTAGATAGATGATCAGTTAAACACTCTCCTGAAGGAATTCCAGCTAACAGAGGAAAACACCAGGCTCCGGTACCTCACCTGTTCTCTTATTGAGGACATAGCAGCTGCATATTTTCCAGACTGTGCAGTCAGACCATTTGGCTCTTCAGTGAACACTTTTGGGAAATTGGGATGTGATTTAGACATGTTTTTGGATTTAGATGAAATTGGAAAACTCAGCACTCATAAGGTAATTGTATTTTTGTTTTTCATTACTATAATCATTTAAAGTTAGGAAATTAGAAAAGTGAAATCTTTGGACTTAATAAAATTTTAACTTTATTTTTAAACAGTAACATTGTGATTAAAGAATGTGATTTATTTGCTATTGATTCTTAGGAATTGTAAAGTCTTTGTATTCATTTTATATAGGGAATCACTTATTGTCACTACTCTATGCATAATTTGTTTTTTTTAAAAAAAGCATTCTTTTCAATGGTGCATCGGTTTTTCCTTTAGGTAAGGTTGCTTATGTTACATTGTATGCATCTTAACTAATGTTTTTATCTGTGATCTTCCTATTGAGAAAAAAAGGGAGAGAGAATAGCGTTACCTTAGATTAGGTAGAGAGAAGTGATGGGAGGGGAGAGGAGAGGATGGGGAGATAGGAAGGATAGTAGAATGAAACAGACATTATTATTACAGTGTGTATATATGTGACTGCATGACCAATATGAATCTGCAACCCTGTACACTCAGAAAAATGAGAAATTATATCCCATCTGATTCAAATGTATGATATGTCAAGGTCATTGTACTGTCATGTGTAACTAATTAAAACAAATAAAAAAATGCAAAAAAAAAAAAAAGGAACAGTTAACTCAACAGACAATTCCTACTAATATTTGCTATTCCTCTAACACTACCTAAATGCAGATAATCTAATAAAGAGGCACATTGCACATACCACTCATCTATACAACAGAAAATAGGACTCAGCCATTAATTTTTACTTCTATTACATAAATCCTTTAGGAGCCAGAGACCTACTAGAAAAAGCAAGGCTGAAGGTAAAATGAAAGCCAGATTTTAGCTTAGGATTTTTATGCTAAAATGATTGTTAAATGACACATTTCACATGTACGCATCTCTCATGCATTGAGATAATGGATAAATCTAAAATCTACTTAGTAAATAACCTTCATTTATTTATCAGCAAATAATCAGTTTGGTAACTGTTGCACATAGGGTAGCATACACAGTGCTGTAGACATACCAAAAAGTCTAACACACTCTACCCTCTCACTTCTGTTGATTTTCTTTACTTTTTCATGCTTGTGGTATAGAATATGTGCCCCAAAGCTTCAGAGTTACATATTTCAACTACATGGTTATCTCTCAGGCTTAGTTTTAATTTCTAGTATAGATCTCTGGGTGAATGCATGGTATGCTCCTAAAGTGCTTAGATAGATTAGCTCTCCATGATTTGTCTACTCAGCTGAGAAGAATTGGGTAGATTTCCGTGATAAACGTTGTTGCGGACTTAATCCCTTTAGGGGAGTGTGTTCTAGAAGAGGGGAAGCTTATTAAGGTAGTTAGAGTTACCAAAAGAATTTACCACATGAACAGTGCTTTAGAGAATGGACATCTTTGTGAATTGACTCATTTATGAAACTGTTTATTTAAAATAATTTCCTATATACATTCAGCATTTCAATAGATACTGACAATTTCTATAAAAAGTATGTCTGAGTTTACACTGCCACCAATATTATATTCATTTCCCTATACCTACCAGTGCTGGAAGTCAGCTTTTGACAGATTGTTAAATGAAAAATTTCATTGCTTATCTTTTTTTGCCCATTAACAATGGCATCTTCCCCTCCTCCATTTGTATGAACTCTTCATGAATTACAACATCTACAATGCCACTGTTAACCTGCTTTGTGTGACGTGTATTACTGCTTTGTTTTGTATTTTATCTAGTATTGAATGTATGCTTTACTTTAATGTTATCAGTTTTTTATGTAATCGTATTACTTCTTTTGTATAATTTGGAATTTAGTGTCATACTTAGAGAATCCTTTGCTGTTGTAATATTTCATATCTTCTGCTACTTTACTGGTGCACCTTTACATTTTAGTTTTTGATCCATGTTGAATTCAATTTGGTTTTAAGACTAAGGATGTAGTCTATTTTTTAAAATGTCTTCTGGAGTCATCTGTAGAAGAGGGATTTTTCTCTACTATATATAGTTCATTTTATTCAACATCAAAAATTCCTATACATAATTGAGTCTATGTATATTAGTTTCTTTTATACTCTTTTACTCTTGTAGGCTTATAATTTTAGCTATTAAAATGTAATGGCTAACTGGGAGAGGGCAAATATATGTTCACTGAATTTATAGAATAAGTAGTTGTATGTATAGTATTGCTTTAGAAGTTAATTAGAAAAAGCCATTGATTTTTCAAGTATTTTATATTCTGGAGAAACAAAAGGCAACTAAGGATATTTTAAGCCAGCTTTTGGCAGTGATTGAATGAAGACTTTTATTTTGTAGATTTGTTTCCTTTTTGCCAGATATAATTTAGGGCAACCTTCTACAAGAAAAGTTTACAAATAAATTCCTTCTTACAAAAACCCCTTATTTACAGATTTTTTTTTTTTCTTATTTAGAACATAGGAAATTTTTTGGTGGAATTTCAAGTGAAAAATGTTCCTTCAGAAAGAATTGCAACTCAGAAGATCCTTTCTGTGATAGGAGAATGCCTTGACCACTTTGGCCCCAGTTGTGTGGGTGTACAAAAAATATTAAATGCTCGGTGTCCGCTTGTGAGATTCTCCCACCAGGCCTCTGGATTTCAGTGTGATTTGACTACTAACAATAGGTATGATCTCTTAAGTTATCATCTTAAATATGAACTTTGTAAGTTATTAGTTCAGTTTTTTCATATACAGGAACAATGGCTTTGGATTCATTAGGACATACTTCAATACTAATTTTTTAAAAATTCAAAGAGATTGAAAAGTAGGAAATCTTTTGTGTTATATCTATTGATTATTTGGCGTTCCTGAACAAAGTATTGCATTAAAATGTCAGCTTACCTAACATCATAGGAGAAGATCTATATTTCTTTGTTCTAACTGATGTTGTAAAATGTACCTATTTATAGCATAAGTCTTCAAAAGTATACTTAGAAATAAAGTAGCACCTTGAGTTTGACCTTTGAATTGCCTCCAGTTTTGTGTACTAAATAAATATGGTTTATGCTATTGGGTCAAAAAGAGTTCTGTATAGCTTAAGACTTCTGCAGGATGTTTTCTTTTTAAAAAAAAAAAAGTGAGATGGGAATGACAATTTTTTATATAATGATTTTTTCTAAGTTGGAAATAGGAAAAACTTCTCAATTCAGGAGTTTATTTCTTAACTCTAGTAGTCTCATTGGATGAGTTTGATTTTAATATACTATCTATTACATGAATAATCATAACTGAAAATAGATGCAGAAAATTCAGTCTAGAGCAGTTTAAACTCAAGTGTTCACTAACAAAAGCTAACTATAAGTATTTCTGAATTTCTTTCAAGTAGCCCACAGAATAAAGTCTTTTGGTTTCTTGCCACGTTTTTTTCCCCCACTATTCGAGAGTGAACCCAGGGTTGCTTTACCATTGAGCTACATCCCCAGTCCTGTTTTGTTTTGAGAAATTCCTAAATTGCTAAGGCTGACCTTAACTTGTCATCTTCCTACCTCAGCTTTGTGAGTTGGTGGAAATTATAGGCATACATCACTGCATCCAGCTCTTGCCAAGTTTTAATATAATAATTAAATGTCTGTTTTTTTGTCTTATATATTTTCTTTATAGTATGTAAAATGACATGTCTTTTTGTAAGTTTGTTGTAGGTTTTTAAGAACTAGTCTTATTCTTTCTTCATGGTTTTATTTGCTTGCATTGTTTATACCAGATATTTTACACTATTGATATTTGTTTTTCAGCTTAATTTAGCTGTATTTACACATAGAAAACAATCACCATATATTTCTAATTTTCTATTTCTTCTATTTTAAATTCAGATGTAAATGCTGTAATGGTAATTTAGTGACAGTTTAAGTCAATACTCTTAAGTGATTTTGTGCCCTCTGTAGGTTCTTTGAGAAATTACAAGATACATTTTGATCAGTAGGAACTTAATCTCAAAATATTTCTGATTAATAATTCTTCAGATTTGTATTTTAAAATTTTGACTAGGAAACTTACTGAAAATAGGGTTTGGGTTTGGTTCCTTTTTTTTTTTTTTTTTTGGTACAAGGGTTTGAACCCAAGAGCACTTAACCACTGAGCCACATCTCCAGCCCTTTTTATTTTTTGAGACAGGGTCTCACTGAGTTGCTTAGGGCCTTGCTAAGTTTCTGAGGCTGGCCCTGAACTTGCAATCTGCCTTCCTCAGCCTCCAGAGTCACTGGGATTATAGGCATGTTCCATCATGCCCAGCTTGAGTTTGGTTTCTTAATAGGCATTTTACCTTCAGAGAGGTTTGATTTTTATAAATATTGGAATTTATTTGGGCTGTTTTAGAAATTATAAGAATTTTAAGATTAAATACTTACAGAATGTTTTTCTCTGTGTATGGGCTAATTCTTCTGCCAAAGGACTGAATGAACTAGGTGTGATGTGTCTGTGTCTTTATTGATGGTTATAAAGTTATTTAAATAATGTTTAGGAACTTTGATTTTAAAATTCTGAGTTTTTGAGTAGAAGACACATGAACAAATTCACATAAATACAGTTATTTCATAACATAAAGGCACCATAAACATACATTGGAGAAAAAGATAGCTTAGTCAACAAATGTTACTGGGAAAACTGGAAATCCATATGTAGCAGAATGAAATTAAATCCCAATCTCTCACCCTGCCCAAAACTCAACTCAAAGGAGATCAAGGACCTAGGCATTAGACAGAGACCCTGTGCCTACCAGAAAGAAATAGGCCCAGTTTCCATCATATTGTCTTAGGAATTGAATTCTTCAACAAGACCCCTGAACCGTAAGAACTAAAATCAAGAATCAATAAATGGGATGGTATTAAATTAAAAACCTTCTTCATAACAAAGGAAACAATCAAGAGCATGAAGAGAGAGCCTACAGAATGGGAGAAAATCTTTGCAACCTGCACCTCAGGTAGACCATTAATCTCCAGGATATATGAAGAACTCAAAAAACTTAGCACCAAAAAAAAAAAAAAAAAACCAACCAAATAACCACCCCTCTCCAAAAAAAGAAAAACCCAAATAACCCAATCAGTAAACAGGCTAAGGAACTCAACAACAAACACTTCACAGAAGAAGAAATATGAATGGTCAACAAATATGTGAAAAAATGTTCAATATCACTAGCAATTAGAGCAATGTAAATTAAAACTACACTGAATGAGATTCCATCTCACTTCAGTCAGAACAACAATTACCAAGAATACAAGTAACAAATGTTGGCAAGGATGTGGGGGAAAAGATACATTCATACATTGCTGGTGGAACTGCAAGTGGTGTAGTCACTCTGGAAAGCAGTAAGGAGACTCGAAAATTTGGAATGGAACCACCATTTGACTCATCTATCCCACTCCTGGCATGTACCCAAAGGATTTAAAGTCAACATACTACAGTGATATGGCCACATCAATGTTCACAGCAGCTCACTTCACAATTTTAAGCTATGGAATCAACCTAGATGCCCTTTAATAGATGAATGGATAAAGAAATTGTGGTATATATACACAATGGAATAGTAATATTACTCAGCCATAAAGAAGAATGAAATTAGGGTATTTGCTGTTAGATGGATGGAACTGGAGACTGTCATGCTAAGCGAGATAAGCCAGTCCCAGAAAACCAAAGGCTCTGATGTGCAGATGCTAACATACAATAAGAGGTGGGGTTGGGGAGAATAGAAGTTCATTGGATTAGACAAAGGGCAATGAAGAGATCGGAGTGGGGATAGGAATAGGAAAAAGAGTGGAATGAATGGGATATAACTTTCCTATGTTCATATGTGAATACATGATAACTCTACACCATGTACAACCACAAGAATGGGAAGTTATACTCCATATATGTATAATATGTCACAGTATATTCTACTGTCATGTGTATCTAAAAAGAACAAGTAAAAAAAACATTAAAAATCTGAGCTTTAAAATTTCATTGTGATTGTCAGTTTTTAAAAGGATGTTTTAATGGTAATAAGTGTATTTGATATTAGACCATTTACATTGAATTTTATGTTGCTGATACCTAATGCTTCTGATTATTTCATCATGGTGTTCTCGGTACATTCAGATGTAGTAAGGTATTTAGATAATTTCACATTTGTATGTTTACTTGAAACTTGGATAGTAACTTTGGGGGCTGAAAATTCTTTTTGTTTTCTTTTTTGAAGGATTGCCTTGAAAAGTTCTGAACTCCTTTATATCTATGGTGCCTTGGATTCAAGAGTAAGAGCCTTGGTGTTCAGTGTGCGATGTTGGGCTCGAGCACATTCCTTAACGACTAGTATTCCTGGTGCTTGGATTACAAATTTCTCTCTTACAGTGATGGTCATCTTTTTTCTCCAGCAAAGATCACCCCCTATACTTCCAACACTAGATTCCCTAAAAACCCTAGCAGGTAAGACTACAAGCAGTCTTCTGAATTTTCTCTTTTGACATTATGAATGAAGTTAAATTGCCATGCATTATTAAAGCCCTAAATATCTGATTTTTAGTCATATAAAGTTATCTTTAAATCCAAAAGTTAAATTGTGGATCTGAAGGTTAAGTGCTCTTTTATTCTTTTTAATGGCCACCAGGGGTCATGAGAAGATTTGATTTACAGAGCCAGGGCTTTTCCAAATTTTGAGAGTTCTGTTTTATTTGTGTCAACTGCCTAGGTTGTTTACAATAGTCATGGGACAAATCAGAGCCTCTCCCTTAGTTGACTGAGTTTAAAAAAAAAAAAAAAAAAAAAAAAATTTCCCAAATACAGCTTTTGATTGGAGCACAGTTTCAGAGGTGGCTTTCTAAATATGAATTCTTTCCAGAATTATAGTAAAATATTGTAGTTCTAATTTCTGAAAGGAAGATAATTAAGGGATTAATATATTGGAAATATATATATATACACATACACACACACTTCTATCTTTTATCCATCCTACATATTGTTGCCAGATAATTATTTTAAGTTCATCCTTGAATTTTCCCTGTCTGCAGTAACATTAAAGGGGATTTTATTCTCTTTGTAATGAATCTCAAACTATTTAGTGTGGCACTTAAAACCTTTAGATATCTAGCTACAATACAGTTTTCCAGTCTCGTTTTTCCACTGTTTGTCTTCATGTGTTTCCACAATCCAACCAATGCTGTGATTAGTCTCATGACATTTTATCTTGGTGTTTTTCTGCCTGGAACGTCTCCTCTCATAATAAACAGTTTATTCTGTGCTGCCTTCCCATATTATCCAAATTAGAAGTAATCCCTTCCTGTGAACACTTGTAAGTGTTAGTATAGTTTGAAATTGGGCTTTTAAGAAAGCTGTGATAAGTTAATGGAAAGTAGGAAGTTTTCAGAGGGGTAGGATGATACTCATGTGTGTCACTTTTGAAGTTGAAATAAAGAGCAACATCCATGCCTGTGCTCATTTCATCCCTTGGTATCATCTATTCAGTTAGTGTTTGTTGATCATTAGGTGTCAGGTGTTATTTTTGGAGCAGTGGGAATGTAGATGATGTTCTACTGAAAAGGTAAGGTATACTCAAACAAAGTACTGGTAGAATCTTACTAATAAGCAACCTATAAGTAACCTTTCTTTTATTACTGCTGTGTGTGTGCACTGATGCTTAGTATAAATCATTGTGGGGAAAAATCATGAAATTTTTTGAGTTCAAAAACAGAGAAAAAGTTACAAAAAGGAGGAATAACTGAGGCAGGTTTAAGTTAGGGGCCGAGTACTATGAGCATCCTAATTGTTCTCTTCCAGTATTAACAAATATTTCCTACTCTACCTGAGTCAGTTCCTTGTTGTCCCTCCTTTTAGGACTTATAGTCTTTTCCCCTGTAGTTTGCATCCTACCATCTGTTCTTACCTAACAAAGTAACTTTTCAAAAAGACCTATCTGATAGTGTTAGGTCTTTTGAAATCCCTCAAAAAAATTTTTAAAGTAGGGCTGTGTTTATGGCTCTGTGGTAGAGCAAGCGCTTGCCTAGCATGTGTGAAGTACTGGGTTTCAATTTTCAGAACTACGTAAAAATAAATTAATAAAGGTCTGTCGACACTAAAAAAGCATTTTTTAAAAAAATTTTTAAGCTTAAAATCTTAATATTATTTCCAATAATTATTTTGGAAAAAATATGATTTGTGAACAAATTTAAAATTACATGTTGTTTTTATTTTAATCTATTGAAAAATAAGTTTTAAGAGAGGCTGGGGTTGTAGCACAGTGGTAGAGCACTTGCCTCATATGTGTGAGGCAGTGGGTTCGATCCTCAGCACCACATAAAAATAAATAAAGGGATTGTGTCCATCTGTAGAAGTAACTAAAAAAAATGAAAAAAAAATTGTCTTTATTTATTAATAGAGGACAGCATGAATCCTTGGAACACCTCCAGAACTTCTAGCACTGTTCTGAACTTAGGTTAACATAAAGCCCAAACTTTTCAGCATTGTATGTAGGCCCTTTGTGGTCTTCTCTTTTATCTCTTACATTGATTTCTGTGAGCACTCTAAACTTGCTGATGTCAGTTCTTTCATGCTTTTTCATATGTCTGCCTTTGTTTGTGATGGCCACCTCCTTACCTTCTGTTTTACCTGGAGAGCTTCCACAAGATTAGCCATGGAAGAAAGCAGACAAACCCAGTGCAGTGTAGATCTCGTTTGTTAGGTCCTCCCTGGCTGTCCTTCCTGCCTTCGAGAAGTAGTGTGCTCTTCTGTTGCCTTCTAAGTGCTCCACACCTGTACGGGAACAGCTGTTAGATTGTTGCTGTTCTTTTATCTGCCCAACTCAACTGGGTAAAGCTTTTACTACAGCAGACTGTCTTTGTTTGCCTTGGCATACAATTGAGTCTATAGTACAAGTTTAGTAAATATCTTTCAAACTTAATTGGATGAACATTTTAATATTTGTATTCAACAAGGTGGACTACAATGGGAACCTTTATATTATAGTTACTCTTGAGTTTTTCTGTTTCTTTGTGTTTCCTACTACTTTCCTCCATGTGTCTTATTTTCTTTTATCCTCCATCTTTTTTGGCTTTGCTACCTTTGTTAAATTTATTTCTGTGCTTAGTGCTTATATCTAATGTTTTCCTCTTATAAACATTGGTTGGTAAGAGTTTTGTTAGTCTGGGTCCTCAGTGATGAATTAAGAAGTTGAGGAAGAAATGACTGGGTAGTGTTATTATCAGTATTGATGCAGAGACCCCAGCAGAGAGGAGAGCTTTAATTTATGACCCAGGAACAATTTCTTGAAGGCTAGCTTTATGCCAGGCATTTGGCTAAAAAATTGTATTCAGCATTTTGTTCTGTCCTCCCAGCAAACTTATGAGACAGTATTACTATTTTCATTTTGTAGCTGAGGAAAATAAGACTGAGAAGTTTTCTAAATTTCTTAAGGTCACATAACTAGAGGGTAATTAATAGAGCTAGGATTAAAACCCACACACTTTTCAGAACTTACACTTTTTAAACTGAAATATAAATACATGTTGAAGTGCATGTATACATACTAATTTTCACAAACGGAACATATCAGTAACCACCACCAGATTAGATAAAATGCTCTAGAAATTCCAGCTATGCTTCCTTTGAGGCCCTACTCCACCCCACCCTTCCTAACAGCACAGATTTTTAACTGTTTATAGATAGCATCATACGGGATGTATTCTTTTTGTGTCTTTGTCCTGCTTAACATTAGTTTTGGGAGATGCATACATATTTTTAGTGTATTTGTGAACTATTAGTTCTCCTTGGTATATAGTATTTCATTATATGGATGTGCCAAAAATGTTTTAATTCTATTTTTGGTGGGTAGCTGAGTAATTTATAGTTTGAAACTATAACAAATATCCATTGATAGGAACTTTCTGGCACATATCTTTTGGTAAACATGGGCATTCATTTCTGTCAGGTATATATACTAGGAGTAGAATTCCTGAATCTTAGAATTTGGGTATATTCAGCTTTAGTGGATATTACCAAATAGTATTCCAAAGTATAAACTCCCATGCATATTATATATAAGTTCTAGCTTTTCTTTGTCTTTGCAGACATCTGATACTATATATAAGTTGGCTTTTCTTAGTGCTTGTGTAATGGCATCATGGTGTGCTTTTAATTTCCTTTTCTCTGTTGACTAATGAAGTTGAGCATCTTCTCATGTCCCTTTTTAGCCATTTGAGTACTTCATAAAAAGCATCTGTAAGCCTTTGCCCATCTTGTTTTGGGATATTTGTAATATTCATTTGTGGGAACTCTTCATATATTCTGGTAATGAGTTCTTTTTTTGTGTGTGTGTGTGTGTATAATACTCAAATATATGCACACTGGTATTGACTTCACTCTTACTAGGGTTAACAATCTAATAATGAAAATAACATTTTAAAAATGTTTCATTTTTTTGTTGAAGTTACAGACACATAGAGTAAACTAATTTTACAAATTTCGTAACAGTAACTTACCTTCTGAACCTTTTCTTTCTACTTCTTTTATCTTGCTCCATGGGTGGCTAACTACTTTTAATTCTTTTAACTAATTTATTTCAGACATTAAACTTCTTATTTCTAAATCAAATGCTTGGATTACTTTCCTTTTTTTTTTTTAGATTTAGATACCCAAGACTTCCCTTTATGGAAGAGGAAGAATTAACTCTTTTGCTCCTGTAACCCCCACTGTGTACATATCCTTTCTATCCCTCAAATAGCAAAATTTTGCTATTTACTTATTATATTACATTATTATGAGTATATAAATGCTATTCATATCTAATCATGGTATAAAGTAAAATAAATTTTCCTGCCCAACTTTTTATATTGTTTGGAGCTAATGGTTTTCTTATTTTTGTTTTCCTGATTTGCTACATATTAACATTAACTCAATCTTAGACTTGTTACCAATTGTCTGTCTTTTCTCAGAAATGTTCAGAAGTATCATATGATCTATTCATGTTGTGGTCTTTGTCTAGACTCTTTTTAAAAAATAGTTTTTCCACTTTATTTTGTGTAGCCTCACATTGGAGTCTTTCCTTAGATGTCTGCTAAGCCTAAGCTTCTGTCCTCCACAGTTAGCATTGTTAATAAATAGGGCAGAACCACATGTTGGCCTCTCTCATTTAGTGATTGCTGACTCACCCTGGAAGGTTTAGACTTATTAGTAATTATAATAGAACTTGAATATAGCTCTTTATATAATTTTTAGCTATTCTAGTTACAGTAAATTTTCATTATAAAACAGAACATGATACGGGCTTTTTTTTTATAAGAGGTGTTAAGCCTTTATATGAACTTGATGTCTACTATATCCTTTATTCATGTTCTCATCAACCTCTACTTATTTATTAGAAGTGCTTGTGCACACACACATCAGATAGAGCACTAATCTCTAGGATATAAAGAACTCAAAAAACTTCACACCAAAAAACAACCCAATCAATAAATGGGCTAAGGAGCTGAACAGCCAAGTCTCAGAAGATAAACAGTAGATCATCAAATATATGAAAAAATGTTCAACATCTCTACTAATTAGAGAAATGCAAATCAAAACTACTCTTAAGATTTCGTCAGTCAGAATGGCAGCTATAAAGAATACAAGCAACAATAAGTGTTGACAAAGATGTGGGGGAAAAGGCACACTCATACATTGCTGGTGGGACTGCAGCATGGTGCAACCACTCTGGAAAGCAGTATGGAGAGTCCTTGGAAAACTTGGAATGGAACCACCATTTGATCCAGCTATCCCACTCCTCAATCTATAGCCTAAAGACTTAAAAACAGCATTCTACAGTGATGCAGCTGCTTCATTGTTTATAGCAGCACAATTCGCAATTGCTAAACTCTGGAAGCAACCTAGATGCCCTTCAATAAATGAATGGATAAAGAAAATGTGGTGTATATACACAAAGGAATATTACTCAACATTAAAAGAGAAAATTATGGCATTTGTAGGTAAATGGATGGAGTTGGAGAATATCATGCCAAGCAAAATAAGACATTCTCAACAACAAAAAGAAAAAAAAAACCAGGGCCAAATGTTTTCTCTGATAAGCGGATGCTAATCCATACGGGAAGTGGGGCATGAGATGAGTGGAGGAACTTTGGATGGGGGAAAGGGGGCGGGGGCCGGGTGGGGAGCAAAGCGGTAGGAAAGATGGTGGAATGAGACGGACATCATTATCCCAGGTTACATGTATGATTGCATGAATGTGTGACTCTACTTCATGCACAAGGAGAGAAGTAAAAAACTTTTGCTCCATTTGTGTACAATGAATTGAGCTTTCTACTGTCATGTATAACTTATTAGAACCAGGAAAAAAAAAAAAAGTATCTGACACAATGTTGCTTCTTGCTCCTTTGACCAGACAAATGAACATAAAAGGTTATACAGCCCATAAATATATTTACTGTAACCCTTAGTAATCTATTAATATCAGTTATTGCCAGTAGTGATCTCTGCAACAAATTATGAATTATTGTAGTATCATGTGGCTTCCTGAAAAATGTGGCTAAGTTTATCAATCTATATGTGACTCTGAGAATATTACTCAGTGACTTATTTTTAGTATGTATTGTGCTGAAAAAGTGATTACTGTATGAATCCATGAAAAGCTAGAGATTTCCAAAGAAATCAAGGGATTTAATAAGTACATATATTTCACTTTTCTTATGGTTTTTAAGTTCATGTAATGGGAGGTGTCATAGTTCTGCATTAAATAAGTTGTGTCTATGTTTATTTTTCTCACCACTGAGTGTTCGTATTTACTTAGGAGTATTTGACATTGTTTCAAACAATATTTTTAAGAAGAAAATCAGTGGCACAGGATTAAACAGTAATGGGATGTCATCTTTGAATAGAGCAAGAATGGAGTTTCTAAGGCATTACTATCCAACAGAACTTAATATCTTTTTAAAAACTTCTTCTTTTTAGTTATACATGTCAGTAGAATGTATTTATAGTTGTACATGATGTGGAGTTACACTGGTTGTGTATTCACACATGAACATAGGAAAGTTATGGCCGATTCACTCTACTGTCTTTCCCATTTCCAATCCCCCTCACTTTCTCCATTCCCCCCTGTCCCCTATCCCAATCCACTGAACCTCCACTCCTCCTTCCCCCTGAGAATTGTGAGTCAGCATCAGCATATCAGAGAGAATATTCGGCCTTTGGTTTTTTTGGGATTGGTTTATTTCACTTAGCATGATAGTCTCCACTTTTCATCCATTTACTGGCAAATGCCAAAATTTCATTCTTTATGGCTGAGTAATATTACTATTCCATTGTGTATATATACCACAATTTCTTTATCCATTCATCTATTAAAGGGCATCTAGGTTGAATCCAGAGCTTAGAATTGTGAATTGAGCTGCTGTGAACATTGGTCACCGTGGTGTGTTGACTTTAAGTCCTTTGGGTGTATGCCAAGGAGTGGGATAGATGGGTCAAATGGTGGTTCCATTCCAAGTTTTTCTGAGTCTCCATGCTGCTTTCCAGAGTGACTACCCCACTTTGCAGTTCACCCAGCAATGTATGAATGTATCTTTTCCCCCCATCCTTGCCATCATTTATTGTTACTTGTATTCTTGGTAATTGCTGTTCTGACTGGAGTGAGATGGAATCTCAGTGTAGTTTAAATTGACATTGCTCTAATTGCTAGTAATGTTGAACATTTTTTTACATATTTGTTGACCACTCATATTTCTTCTTCTGTGAAGTGTCTGTTGAGTTCCTTAGCCTGTTTATTAATTGGGTTATTTGGGGGTTTTTTTGTTTTGTTTGTTTGTGTTTTTTTTGGTGTTAAGTTTTTTGAGTTCTTCATATATCCTGGAGATTTAATGGTCTATCTGAGGTGCAGGTTGCAAAGATTTTCTCCCATTCTGTAGGCTCTCTCCTCATGGTTCTTTTGCTGTGAAGAAGTTTTTTGGTTTGATACCATCCCATTTGTTGCTTCTTGATTTGACTTCTTGTACTGTTAGGAGTCTTGTTGAAGAATTTGGTTCCTAAACCAACATGATGGAAATTTGGGCCTACTTTTTTTTCTAGTAGGCACTGGGTCTCTTCTAATGCCTTGGTCCTTGATCCACTTTGTGTTGAGATTTATGCAGGGTGAGAGAAGGTCTAATTTCATTTTCCAACAGAACCTTCTATGGTGGTGGAAATGTTCTGTATCTGTGCTGTATGATAGTTTTGCCCCTAGCCACCTAGACCTGTTAGGCATTGGAAAGATGGTTAATGTGGATGAAGAACTGAAATTTTAACAGCTGTAGGAAGCTAATGGCTGTTGGATTGGACTTACATGTGTTGTTTGGGTGTTAGTTACAGTAAAAAAAATAAAAATTAAAAAAAAAAATAAGGTGAAGCACTCAACAAAGCTGCTTGTTAGATTTGAGTGCCTTAGAGGTTTTGAAAAAATAAAGATGGCCTTATCTTGAATCGGAGAATAATTTTTTTCTTCAAATTTCAGTATTATCTGTTGAAATCCTTTCAGTGCAACACTCTATCGTCTTAGTTTTTAATGGTTGTACATTTCTGGAATGTTAGTAAAACTTCAATGGGAGAAATAGTCCTAAAAAGAGAAGCACCTGCTGAAAGATCATCAATATATGTCAGTGGTGCTGTGTTACAAAAAATACAAATTGTAGCTCACTTGAAATAATTAAACATGTACCCAGATCTCCTAAAAGTAGAAGAATATGTAAGATTCACTATTAAAATTAGTATGAGTCTAGAATAAAGTTTGAGAAGTCATCAGTAACAGAAATTAACAAAAAAAAAACCCACAAAAAAAGAGGAGACAGAAGTTTGAAGGAATCTTGTTTGTCTTTCTAATTTCTTTTTGGTATAAATATAGGCATTCAAAATCAAATATCAGTAATCATTCAGATTATTATGTGCCTGTTATGTGCTGTGCACACCTTTGTTGTGGGCTAGACAGGGAAGGAAGAGGGACAGTAATGAATAGTAGAGTGGCTCTTTAGTCCCAGGTTAGGGGTGAACACAGAGAAGCTCCAATGGAGGATGAAACTGAAAGAATGGAGGAGCAATACCTTAGAATTATGAAATGTGTTGAGATAGGAGGTAGCCATTGATTAGACTTTTGAATAATGTGAGCTTGCTCTAAAAACTGCGCTTTTTTATATGTTATAGAGTGGAAGGTGGATTAGAGTGTATAAGGGATTTCATCATGGCTATATATCATAATTAGGAAATGATTACCTCTAGATAATACTAGTAGAATAGTTGAATGCCTAAAATTAGTATGTCATTGAATTTGTTTTACTGGATTAACTGAATTTTAGCCACTCTGAAGTACTGCCTGGGCAAAGTGGTGCATGCATATAATCCTATAATCTCAGCATCTTGGGAGGCTGAAGCAGGAGGATTGCAAATTTGAGGCCAGCCTCAGCAAGTTAGCAAGATACTAAGCAACTTAGATCATGTCTTAAAATTAATAAGTTAAAAGGGCTGGGGATGTAGCTTAGTGGTAAAACACCTATGGATTCAATCCCCAGTCCCACTCCCCTCAAAAAAAAGAAAAGAAAAAAATGTAATGTTAATTTTACTGTAGTATAGTCTCAAATCTTTTTAAATCAAGTTTTAAATTTTATTAACTATAAACATATATAACTCTAATAATAGGACGTACACACACACACACACACACATATATATATAAAACTTTGATTTTTTAATCAGTTATTTTCTGAGGTAGGAAATATCTTTGAAGTATAATATGAAATATTTTAATTTCTATTTAAGATGCAGAAGATAAATGTATAATAGAAGGCAACAACTGTACATTTATTCGTGACTTGAATAAAATTAAACCTTCAGAAAACACAGAAACATTAGGTAAGTGCTTTATTTCTTTTTGGGTTCAACTTTCTTATTTTTATTTCTTTTTGGGTTCAACTTTCTTATTTTTATTACTTTATTTCTTTTTGGGTTCAACTTTATTTCTTTTGGGGTTCAACTTTCTTATTTTTATTACTTTATTTTCTTGCAGAATTACTACTGAAGGAATTTTTTGAATATTTTGGAAATTTCGCTTTCAATAAGAATTCCATAAATATTCGACAGGTAAATGTTTTAGTATATTTGATTATAAGTTATCTGGTGTTCTGCTGTAGTGATATTTTAAATTTAGTTTTCAGAGTATTCTAACAAATGTTTCATTATAATGTTAAAGTAATAGTAATAAGGAGATTGATGTCCGTAGGAGTTGTCTAAGTTGCCTAAGCTTATTCATCTAGTTAATTGGAAGAGCAAAAGGCAACTCTTTCAACATCTGCCTCCATCACAGTGCTGTGGCACCTCTGACATCATTATATTCTTTAAAATGTGGAATTATATCCTGAAAAGTTTTCTGGAAAAGGTAATTTTACATACAGTTAAACTAGATTTGGGTTTCCATGCAGCAAATTTAATATGAAGTCCCAAGTTTTGATTTGAGCCCTTAGGAATTAATTTATTTAGAGTATATGAATTTATGATCGTGGTTCTTCTAATGATAGACTTTATTCTAAGAAAGAAAATCGCAGCAGAAGCCTAGGCAAAATATGTTTACAATTAGGGAATGCTTGTGAAAGCTCTGGGCTTATTCTGTTTAGATCTGGCTTCATAAAGCAAAAACATACATATTCTTTTTTGTCATTTTTTTCACTCTCCTGTTGGGAGACTTTGTTAAAGTAAAAGTGTGGGGAGGAGAACGGGAAGGGACACTGAAAGCTCTGGAATGTGATCTAGAAGCAAAAGGTCACCAAACATATAGGTTCTTTTTCTTTTTTTGTATTTGAGGTTCAGAGATGGCAGGCAGGCATGACACCCACTGAGCAGCGGTATGAGAGAAGTTAGGGAATAGATAGGTGCTGCCAAGTCTGGAGAATCCAAATCTTTGGTTTTTTAATATTTATGTAATATCTGTGGTATCATTTGAAGGAGGAAAAATAGATAGGATCACTACTGTTTATGTGATTCATGGTTTATATTTTTCTGAGGTAAGGTCTTAAGTGCAAGAACCTTACTATTGGATGTTTACGAATGTAATAGAACGAATAATCCTTTGTTCCTCTCTTTCTTTTTCATTTCATACTTGGAAAACTAATTTCTACATTTGAAGATTCTAATTTTGTATTTTTCTGTGGCCACTGAAATAGATTTTTACCAAGATACATGTATCTTCATCTTATTTTCTATCATTTCTCTTCCTTTCATGTTATTTCAGATAAAGAGTTACATTATTTTAAATATATTTCTATTTTTAAACTAGTGCAGTTACCTGACATTAGAGCAGTAACATCATCATCCATAGATCATGAACCTAATTATTTTTCTCTAAAGATACTCATAAAACTAAAATGGGAAAGACAACAGAAGTGTACACATTGACATTCATATCACATGTATACCTACCTAACTCTCTTAGGGAAGGATTTATTTTTTACCCTGTGAAGTAATATTTTATGTGTTTTTGTCATTAAAACCCTTCATATACTTATACGTGTTTTTCTCCTGTATCATAATCTATAGGGAAGGGAACAAAATAAACCCGATTCTTCTCCTCTGCACATTCAGAACCCTTTTGAAACTTCTCTCAACATTAGCAAAAATGTAAGTCAAAGTCAGCTACAGAAATTTGTAGATTTGGCCAGAGAAAGTGCCTGGATTTTACAAGAGGAAGATAAAGATCGACCTTCTCCATCAAGTAACCAGCCCTGGGGGCTGGCAGCCCTACTGCTGTCATCCGTCACAAATAGTAAGTCCCTTGCCAAGAAGAAAAACAAAAGGCCTGCGAGTGAAAGAATTAGAAGCTTGTTAGACTCCATAAAAAGTAACAGTACAGAAAACGCCACAACCGCCAATGGGAAAAGAACAATTAGTACTCACACGTAATGGCTGCTGCTTTGCTTTAAGAACTGATTTTATCATACAAAATGGCCTGTGGACTACTGAGAAGAACAGATGTGACAGTTGACAGATCTCATCTTTTGTCATTCCTTTGCACAGCCTTTATCACTTGCCCCCTTAACTTTGTGGGATGTTTTCTGCCTGACCAAGCTGATACTAAGGTGGCATTTTATTACAACGTCAACTACAAGGAATGGACAAAAGAAGGTTGGAATGTACTTGACTAAATAAACTATACAAATTGAATAGTAAAGATGAGTTTTAGAATCTAACCCTTTAAAAGGACTTCTAGTTATATATGTATGGCAATGAATACAATAAAGCTTCAGAATTTGGGAGTGCTCTTTAATATGTATTTTTTATATTTCAAGCAACAAAGTACTCTTATTCACATATAAATTAAAAGTTGATACTGATATCCAAGAGTATTTATGTTTTTTTTTTTAAAAGAGAGAGAGAGAGAATTTTTTAATATTTATTTTTTAGTTTTTGGCGGACACAACATCTTTGTTTGTATGTGGTGCTGAGGATCGAACCCGGGCCACACGCATGTCAGGTGAGCGCGCTACCGCTTGAGCCACATCCCCAGCCCAATATTTATGTTTTTTAAACATGAACCCAACCCATATACTGTGGTCATTACATTCAAGGTGTTCCAAATCAAATATATAAAAATATTATGATATTTTAAATAGTATTTAGTTTTTCTGTTTTTAAAAAATAAAATTCTGTTTCTACTAAAATGTGATATGGTATTCCCAATAGCCCTTCACTTCTGTTATTTAGAACTTTCTTCTCCTTATAGGAAATACATGTAATTTTTATTACATTCAATGTAGAGTAACTTCAGTTGAAGAAACAAGTAGTGTAGTGTTTAAAAACAGACTTGAGCCATACTGGCTCATGGCAAATTACTGAGTCTTCTTGGGCCCTGGTTGTTTCATCTATAAGATGGGAATGATGATAGTACCCACTTAACTAGATTATTGTTGAATTTTTAAGTAAGATAACATAGAAATGTGCTATATCAAGAACCTGAAACACAGTATATGTTACCTATTGAATATTTTTTATCTAGTCACTCCTGTCAAGTGTTTGGGTGTGTAATTATTTTTCTCGCTACTTAAAAAATCATGTTTAGAGCTTGTTGGGTGGGGTTTTCAAAGGTTTTGCATTGAAATTTTTAATTCAAAAATTATAATGTATTCTGCTTGGTATAAGAAACTCAGTAATAGAATTGTTATGAAGCAAGTAAGTTCTCTGTCCATGAGGCTGTGCTGTTGGATTTCACATCTGAAACTAAACAAGTAATCAGTGTTCTTAATGCAGGCAGAGTCTAAACTAAAAGCCAGGTTTTAAATTGTTTTTTAATAAGTTTACTCTGTTGGGCTGGAAATCAATACTGATTTAAAAAATTCAAAAGCAACTATTTAAGGGTCTCTGGCTTTTTAAAAAATTTTTTCTATTCACAGATACTTTATCTGTCATTTTTGTAGTTTGCTGTTAAGTCTAAATTGGTTATTTAAGCACACAAAATATGTGTGTATTAGCTTTCTTTTTGTAATTTACAGGACAGACTTGATAGTGTGGATCTATTTTACTTTTCAGAATACATTTAATTATGTGATGAATTTTAGTCTTTAAAGATTTTTTAAATGTACAGTTTTGAATTCTGTTTCATAAAATATGGACTACAGACAAATATGTTTTCTCATAACTTCAGTGTATTATATCCCCAAGTTTTAAAACATAATTTTTATTACATCATAGGAATAAAGTAGCAGTTATTTTTGCCATTGCTGTTATTTAATTAAAATTAAAATTTTTTCTCAAGTTTTTTTTTTCCTAGTATTACTAGGCTTTGATTCAATAGCTTTCACCTATAATGAATTTTATTTTCAGTATGTGAAAGTAGTTTTAATATGCAATTACCTAAATCAAATTTATTTTAGCTGTATATCAATCCAGGTATTATAGCCCACTAGTATAATTCCTGATATTGTTACCTATATTTAGGAAATTAAAGAATTGGGCAGAGACATTCTAGGAAATGAGAATTAGCTTAAGTGTTCTAAGAAAACAACGTGTATTTTATCTCATTCACAAGCCTCCAGTGATCAGAAAATGGAAGGGAAAACAAGGACAGTTCAAATAAGACTTTGTCCCTGCTGTCATTTACTACTTATATCTTCTTTCATTTGCTTTACACCATAGTCAGGTGAAAGCTGAAATATATCGTTTATTTCACATTTATAGAATTTCCTTGGCCTTAAAAGTATAGCCATATTCAACCCCTTTACAGCCTGCTGGTGCCATGTTGTGGAAAACTACATTTGCCATACGTAAATAAACAAACTCAGTGATGCTTGGTGGCAAAGCCTGCAGAAAGAACATCCAGGCAGATGCAGCTTGTCCATATAACAACTCTCCCCTTTATGGAGTTTGATATTCAGTTGGTGAGTAGCTATGGGGTCTTAGTTAAGTCTATTCAGTAAACATTACAGGAGTAGATCGTTCCAAGTGCTGTTGAAAGGAAGAAACTATTTCTGGCACGGATGATCAGGAATAATGGGTCCATGGGAAGAGAGGCAGGGATTATCATTCTGGGATAAGGGAACAGTATAAATAGAAATCAGAAGGAGAGAAGCTTGTTTGGAGACCTGGAGGACCAGAATGCATGGCGTGTGGTTTTTACCATGATACAAGAATTAAGGTTGAATAAGTTCTAGAAAGACTGCCAATTGCAAGTTAAGGGGGTTGAATGTATTTTCAGTGGTAAATCATTGACAGATTTTGTGCAGGGGAATAATAAAAGTTGAAGCAATGTTTTTTGATTTGTTAGAGCCAAGTAGTTCTAGATCATGGGGTGTTTTGTTTTGTTTTTTTAAGCGAAGTTAAATACCATAGGTTCCATTATTAAGTTACATAGAATTTGACCATCAGTTTTCCACAGAGATTCCAAGCTGACTGCCTTACTTACCTCAGAAGCGTCTTCTTAGTGTTTAGTAAGAGAGTAAAGCTTGAGTAGTTTAAAGCTATCAACAGGAAATATCAGGTCATGACTTACATATGATTTTATATGTAAAGCTTGTTAATGAGAACTTCTTTACAGTATATACTTGGAAAGGATTTAAAACATGACTAGAAATCACTTTTCACCTTGGTATGATGTTGGAAAATTTATTTTAAGTACTTGAAAGGCTTATTTTGGTTTCCATGCTGAATTCAATTATTTGTAGATACAGATTTCAAAGAATATAAACATTACCACGTTCCTTTGGAATTCCCATGGAGCAACTCCCAGAAAGTGTCTGTTGTAGATAGAATCTTTAATCTGTAGTATCTATGATACAGGATGTATAAAATCACAGATTGTTTTTAAAAATATATTTCATACTTAAATGTGATTGCTTATGTTTTATGTTATCTTTGTGTATTCACCCACCTTTCAATACTCAGAGTGGTCAAAGCTACATTAAAGGCATTGTTTACTTTTTCTGTTTACTTATAGGTTAATGCATTTAAACTTCCCCTATCACCACTACCCATAAGCAAATTTCTAAACTTTCAAAATGCAGTGCTGAGATCTGTTTTAAAGAGAGTTTCAGACACAACTTGATGCTGTGAATAATGTACTGTTGTAAATATGTGGCATGGTAAAATACAGGTTGAGCGTCATGGTGTAGTATTCATGAAGTTTTTGACTTTGGAGCATTTCAGATTTTGGAGTTTTGATTTGGAATGCTTATATTCCAGAATCTGAGAAACTCAAGGGATAGTCAACCTGCACCTAATCCGGAATTGGTCAGGTCTAAGTTAATGAAAAATGAAATTCCACAATATTTTTGTCTGGTTTATTTTGAAGTTGCACTATTGAAAATTTACTATAATGGGTGCCATAGAATAAAATGAAACAAATTATGATAAATTAAATCTGCATTATGTTTCCTGACTCCAAAATTCTTCATCAAGTTCAACTTGTTATAATAGCCTTACTACATTTCTGAAGTTTTTCCTATTATATAAAATTATTGGTGTTTGGCTTAGGGTAATTCAGTTTAATGACTGTGGTTTTAATTAATGTTTGATAAGTTTATTAAACCAGGCCTTGAAGAGTGGATTGAAAGGTCATGTAATGATATGCTAGTTCTGTACTATCTTAGAAACTGACCTTAAAAGTTGGATTTGAAGATGGCTGATGTTTTGTGAGGAAAGCAGGCTTACTAATAATTTTATAAAACTTATTATGAAGAATGTTGAACATGGGCAAAAGTATACAGAAGAGTGTAATGAACTTGCATAAATACATTACCTATTTGATAGTTAAGTCATATTGAGTTCTGTTTAATTTATAATCCCATTATTACCACTTTTGTATTATCTTAAGCAAATTGCACTTACTTTACCATTTCCTCTACATCAAATCTCTAAAACAATGTTAGTTCTAACATAATCCCCAAATCATTGTCATACCTAAATCAAACAAACAAACAGTAACCCTTTAGTTAATTATACCCAGTTACTGTTCAGGAGCCCACCTGTTTAATGGCTATCACAGTTGTTGTTTTCTCCTCAAGTGGATTTGTTTGAATCAGGATCCAATTACAGTCCACATAGAGTAACAGAGTAACATTAATTGGTTTCTTAATCCCTGATGCTCTCCATTAGTGCTTCACCTCTTTTATGTCTTGCAGGATTATGGACCTTGATTGTCTGTCTTATGGATTTTCCTACAACATGGATTTTAATTGTGTCAGCACATAATCATGTGTGAAAATGTTCATCATTACTTAATGATTTAAAATACTTGTAACTGGTTTTAGAAAATTCATTAATTTTCAAGTACAGGTTTGCCTTCATTCACCTTTATTCCATTAAGATTCTAGCTATGTAAGTTGGAACCTTTTGTTTAATTCCCTTTGTCTCTGACATGTTTTCCTATATTTTCTATCCTTTTTTCTGTCTTGATTCTGTTATTTTAATTTTAATTTTTTAATTTGTTTTAATTAGTTCTACATGACAATAGTATGCATTTTGACATATTGTACGCAAATGGAGCACAACTTTTCATTTCTCTGTCTGTACGTGGAGCAGAGTCACACCGGTAGTATGATCATACATGTGTGTAAGGTAATAATGTCTATCTCATTCTTACATCCTTCCCATCCGCACAGCCCCACTCTTCCCCTCACTCCCCTCTGCACAGTCCAAAGTTTCTGTTAATTTACATCTGACTTACATTATAGTTTTCCAAAATTTTCTTCATCTGTGTTTATTTATTTATTTTGGTGCTGGGGATTAAGCCCAGAGGCTCTTTGCCACTGAGCCACATCCCCAGCCCTTTTTATT